TTGGAGTGCCAACACAAAGCCTCAGCCAACCTTGGTGACCTAAACATCCTCCTAAATCTGTCTTTTATAGGAAAATACCTTAGCACTTTTGCTGGAATCCCTTTCTTATCCTCGACCAGTGTGCTTGTCTTTTCCCATCTTGATTCACTACATCTTGGGCAGGTCACCAAATCCTCATACTCATTGCGATAAAGGATGCAATCATTCTTGCAGGCATGAATAGAATCATAACCAAAACCAAACATCTTCAAAAATCTCTTCATCTCATCTGTAGACTTAGGCAGCACATTGTCTTCAGGTAACATGTCATGAACTAGGGTTAGAAGCTGATCAAAAAAGTTTTCTGACATACCACTCTTGACCTTTATCCGGTAAAGTCCCATGATTGCAGAAACCTTTGTGTAGCTCAAACAATTCTGGTACAATGGAGTTTCTGCATCCTCTAACTTCTTCCTAAACTCATCTTCTACTTGATTATCAATATCATCAAACTCGTCTGCATTCTGATTCTGAGATGGTTGCTTGCCTTCAGTTTCTATAAAAGCTGTCCTAATCAAATCATAAGCCTCATTTTCAGAAGTATAAACATCTGTTCTGTTAGCATCCCATATATCACCGTGTTTACTCCAACAGTTGTTCTTTTTGTACTTCTCATCCATCCCTCTAATCACCAGATGATCAAAGACTGTCTGGGTTGACTGATGAACAACATTGCGGCAATCAAGGCAGGGACACCACATATGTGATACATTACCTAATCTTTTTGATGAATCAAACACAAACTTAGTTGCTCCTTCCTCATACTCAACACAATTCCTGTAAGTAACAAACAATGTTATTAGAAAACTCACAGTCCCCTAATCATTAAATGAAATCAAAGAAGATGTGTAATAACTTTTAGGTGAATACCTTGGTAACCAGACCCAAGCTTTATCCATGTTAAAGTAGCTCCGACCAAATGTGCATACAAGGTTATTAGGAATAGTAGAAGTAAGCCACAACAACAGTAGAGAACTGCTAAAGAATCAAGTGTGAGTGAGGTACCTGCTAGATGTTATTCTCTTTTGCTTAACTTGAGCTACAGAAGGAAACACAACAGTATAAATCGAGAAATCTGAATGAAACATTTAAGATAAAGACCTATTCAAAGGAGAAACACATAGAAGACATCATACCTTGACACTAGAAGAACTTGAATTAAACAAAACCTTCCTGCAAAATAGTAAACCCAATCGAAACACATCAAAACAACATGCAAGCTAGAACCCTAAATTACTAAAAATCAAACATAAAAGCTGTATCTGGTTTATTGTTAAAAAGAAAGACCCGATTTTACCTTTGCATAAACTCGATTCAGTAGGGATTTTGTTTCCAAGAATTGGAAAGTGAAAATCGAGTTAAAGGGGAAGCTGGATTTAGGTTTTCTGGGTTCTAGAGACTAAAGATTTCTGGGTTTGAGATACTGAAGATTTGTGGGTTCGAGAGAGATTTGTGGGTTCGAGCTAGATAGATTTGCTGTGTTCCTTCGCGAGACTGAGATACACAAAGAATCGAGAATGAAATCGATAGAATGAGAAGAAGACGAACTAATGAGATAGAGATTTGTGTGTGAGAGCTTCAGACAGAGACTGAGATTTGTTTCGATGTGAATGTCGAGCAAAATGGAGGCAAAAAGGGTTTTAGGTTTTCTAAGTGTGAATTGGGGATTTTGGTTTGGAGGCAAACAAATTTTTAGCCCAAAATTTTCTAAGTGTCAGCGGCAAAAATTTTAGCCTATTATAACGTTAAGAAATGTTTATGCTATTGAAACGTTATGCGAAAATTGGATTTTTAAAACGTTTTGTATATGATAGCATATACTTATTCACAAACGCTATCTTAAAATCTCTCGTTAAGTAACGATAGCATTATGCTCACAAACGCTATCTTATAATGCTATTAAAAGTCAATATTCTTGTAGTGCTTGTAGACAAACATATCTTCAAATAAAACGGAGCCTATGCAAAGAAAGGGAATTAACGATCCATAAGGGAATTAAAGGCGGGGCGAGTAGACCATGGGAGAGAGGAAAGGCAAAGGCTGGCGGATAAAACGCAATCACAACCAAACAACACAGACGGCATCATAACGATGAAATGCACATGAACAAGAACAGAACGTGCGTAGGATCAAGCAATGAAGATACCTTATTATTCGAGCCACACCGTAGATCAACCAGAACCGGAATTACAAACATCTTCACTGAAACCACAAACCCATTACTTGCCGCTACGACCGCTTCCACAAACCCAATAGTGAAACTCGAAATAACCCAAGAGATTCCTCAGACGCAAGCTAAAAGCTCTACAAACAAGACTAAAGAGACAACTCTAAAAACCCGATGAAGAAGATGAAATGGAGCAGCAAACCAGAAGATCTCGGCAAGAAATTGAGGCATCAAAAACAGATCTGAACTCCAAACTCAAACAAATCAGAACACCACCGCCAATATAGGCCACTAACCAAACCAGCACCACCTTCGTAACTCGGCCGGAAACACAAGCACAAGAACTTCGATGTTACTTCACCATCATCACTTCACGAAGAAGGTCACCAAAGAAACAAATCGAAAAAAATTAATAAATAAAGAAACTAAAACAGAGACATGGAGGCTGAATCCGGTGCTAGATAAGCCACCCTGATTCAGCCTCAGATCGACAATTTTTTTTTTCCCTTCCGGCGGCTGATTCTCGAGAGAGAAAGGGGAACTAGGTTGAAAAAAAGGTCTTCGCTGAAACTGGTTTTAGACTAAACATTGGATTCAAACGTCAAATTTTACACTTTATTGAAAAATACAAAAATCTCTTTTCACATATAAAATTCAGCATATATTATGATGGTAGATAGTATTCTTAGGCCATACACAGAGGCGCAACTTTTGTTCGGGTGTTATGATTAAAAAAAACAAAAATAATCGAATAGTGATGAAAGAGAAAGAAGATGGGTGTAGACTTACAATCGGGTGTAAGTGCCACATGTCTCACTCTCCTTTCTATTCTCTCTATCTCTCTCTATCTCTTTATCTTTCTCCCTCTTTTCTCTTTTTTTTATTATAACATTAAAAATATTCTAACATATATACTCAAGTTTATCCCACTGTGCATGTTCTTAGTGTTTATCTTCTCCATAAATGCTTTAGCTTAGTGGTTTAAATAGCATTTGTTACACCATTGAGGTGGCTGGTTCAATTCTTGGAGTTGTGTTTTTAATTTTTAAACACTAAAACTAAAGCAAAACGAGGTCGTGTTATAGTTTAACGAAAGTTGTTAGGTCAACATTAACCCTCGTTAGTTGACTTAACGAAGTATCTTATTTAACAAAATCAACAAAAATTAACGATTAATAAAAAATTCAAATAAAATTAGCAATTTAATTCACCATAAGCAAAAGTTGATGATTTTTTCAAAACTTTTGATAAAGTCATGTTTTAATGACATTTTTCCCTATTAACTATGCATAAAGTGGCATATTTAGATACTAATTATTAGGCCTGAGATTTATATCCGTTATCTGCGAATATATGTATTCGTATCCAGTTTTTGATCCGAAAAAACGGATATCCGGCAAAACGGATACGAATACGGATAGTAAAATTATGGATATTCCGGATACGGATAATCCAAAAATTTGGGCCGGATAACGGATATCCGGCAAAAAAAATATATATATATATATATAATTTAAAAGCCTTATGACTTCATTTTTCAAGTGTTAAAGTCCAAAAAATCTTGTAAGCCCAACTTTTTTTAATTGTTTTTATTTTATTTTCAATGTTAATAAATAAATCATATGACAAAAAATAAAATAAAATTTCTAAGAAGAATTTAAAATGTTGATTAATGTCTTTTCTTTTTTTAAAAGCATCACTTGAATCTTTTAAACTTTTTGCTACTTTAATAAATTCTTTGTTTTTGTAATGTTTCGTATATATAATCAACTTATAGTTGTTTTATGAATTTTTTTATGTAAGATATTAATGAACTTAGAATTTTAAAACACTATTTCCAGATATTCGCGGATTTCCACGGATATACGGATTTTTAACGAATATCTGGATACCAGATATCCGGAATTTCCGGATCCGGATACGGATACTAAATTGGTAGATAATACGGATACGGATACGGATACGGATATTTTAAAAAACCAGATATCCGCTCCGTTTACAGGCCTACTAATTATTATGCTGTTGACCACATTAGCTTTCTGACAACAAGCTAGCTGAAATGTCGGGACGGCTGCAATTCCTTTTTTGTTAGTAGAGAAAAAAAAAAAAAAAAAAAACAGACAGAGAAAAAGAGATTGAGATGGAGAATCACACGAAGGACTCGACCATGAAAGTTTCATCTCTTAATTGTATCGATCTAGCTAACGATGATCTTTATCATTCAGTTGCTTCCCTTAAACAGGTTTATCTCCAATCTCAGTTTTTAGATTTTGCATGTTATGAATTATGATCATTATATCAAATTGATTCCATGATATGGGTAATTATGGCTTTAGGCATCTTTGGATTGTGGATTTTTCTATGTGATCAATCATGGGATAAACGAAGAGTTCATGGAAGATGTTTTCGAGCAGAGCAAGAAATTTTTTGCTCTTCCTTTAGAGGAGAAGATGAAAGTGTTGAGAAACGAAAAGCATAGAGGCTATACACCTGTTCTTGATGAAAAATTAGATCCCAAGAATCAAGTCAATGGTTTGTGTCACCTCTTGCTTAATTTCAAAGGTGTTTTTCATTGTTTGATGTTGAATTAATATTTTTTTGGGGGTTTTTAGGGGATCACAAAGAAGGTTATTACATTGGAATTGAAGTTCCAAAAGATGATCCTCATTGGGATAAACCATTTTATGGCCCTAACCCTTGGCCTGATGCTGGTTAGTGTTTTTTTTGTTTTTGGTGTGTGTGTTGATTTTGTTAATAGCACTTTCTTTGAATAAACCTCGATGTTTTTGGTTAGATGTTTTACCTGGTTGGCGAGAAACAATGGAGAAATATCATCAAGAAGCATTGTAAGTCTCATCTTTGGCTTGCCCTTGTCCTGGAATTCGCTTGTTTAGTTGAATATATTATTTATAGGAACAAATCATTTCACCAAAAGTTTGGCCTTCTATATGATAAAACGTTTTGGTATGGTCAGGAGAGTTTCTATGGCTATTGGAAAACTATTGGCGTTAGCACTTGACTTGGATGTGAAATACTTTGATAGGACAGAGATGCTTGGAAAGCCTATTGCAACTATGCGATTGTTGCGCTATCAAGGTAATTTATTGTCTTGTGAAAATCATAGAGCATTATAAGTTCTTAAGCTTTGTATGTTCATCCCATTGGTTTCTTTTGTTGTACTTTAGGGATTTCTGATCCCTCAAAAGGAATATATGCATGTGGAGCACATTCAGATTTCGGAATGATGACTCTGTTAGCCACCGATGGTGTAATGGGACTCCAGGTTTTAAGCTGCACAGATTTTGCTTATTCACATACCTTTTGAAATGACCGGTTAGTTATGTGAAATTTTGATAAATCTTGATGGCAGATATGCAAAGATAAGAACGCGACGCCTCAGAAGTGGGAATATGTACCGCCGATTAAAGGGTATAATGAACAACCTTTCTTATTGTTCATTGGTCCATCATCTATTAAACCTTGAATTATATGCTGACTAGCATCTGATCCATATTTATTTTCTGTCTACAGAGCATTTATCGTGAATCTTGGCGATATGCTGGAACGTTGGAGTAATGGCTTTTTCAAGTAATATTTCTAACTAACAAGTGATTTTGATTTGGAAGCAAGTTTTTTCTAGCTGACATTTTTCTCACGTACATATGACCTTACAGATCTACGTTGCATCGGGTTCTTGGGAACGGTCAGGAACGATATTCCGTAAGGCCCTTACTAAAGCCCATATGTGTCTTATCTATACAATCTTGTAGGGTTATAAGGGAGATGTTTTTAGCCATATACTCAATGCTCGCTTATAATATTCTCAACAGTTACATTGTGTTTGACATGTTCAGAATCCGATCTAGCAAGATATACATAACATTGACGTTGCATCTAATTAATATTTTCTTTATGCAGATTCCATTCTTCGTGGAACCAAATCATGACTGTCTCGTGGAGTGTCTCCCAACCTGCAAGTCGGAAAGCGACCTTCCTAAGTAAGACTTTACCTTGTGTTATACCGAGACCTTTTAAGTGGTAAACGCTTTTCTAATGTTTATGATTTTTTTATGCATGTATAGATATCCACCGATCAAATGCTCGACATACCTCACCCAGCGTTACGAGGAAACACATGCGAAGTTAAGCATCTAC